AAGCCAGAGTGAAAGACATGAGCCAGAGTGAAAGACATGAGCCAGAGAAAGAAATATGCTGAGGTGTCGAGAGTGAATAGTGGTGGGTAGTAGTGGTAGTGGTGGTTGTGGTAGTGGTGGTGGTGGTGGTGGTGGTAGTAGTGGTAGTAGTGGTGGTGGCAGTGTGGTAGTGGTAGTGGTAGTGGTGGTAGTAGCAGTAGTGGAGCTTTCCCGTACAGAACATCAGAATTCTGTCAAGCTCACGGCAGCTCTCACTGAGCACATAATAGATCAGAATGCAGCAAGTCAGGTGGATACCAACGAATTAAACAAGATTCGACGGTCCATCACGACAGCGCGGCAGCACACCCAAAGTGATAAACTGCAACAACTATTGCAACAAGTGCCAGAGAACGTGAAAAGAAAAGTAGCTATAGCGCAGGAGGTGGGCGCCTCAAACTGGTTAACAACGTTACCGATAAGGGCAAAAGGCTTCATCCTTAATAAACAAGAATTCACAGATGCCATTGCTCTAAGGTACGGTAGGCCAGTAGAAGGTTTGCCCTCACAATGCGTATGCGGCTCATTTTATGACATTGACCACGCCATGGTGTGCAAGAAAGGGGGCTTCTTATGCATGAGGCATAACGAAGTAAGGGATCTAACAGCAAATCTACTGAGGGAAATATGCCACGACGTCATGGTGGAACCGCCCCTCCTTCCATTGGACGGTGAGCACCTCCGTCACAGGACTTCAAACACATCCAACGAAGCCCGAGTGGACGTCAGTGGTCGAGGATTCTGGACGCGGGGACAGCGAGCCTTTTTGACATAAAGATTTTTTATCCCATGGCCGCATGTCACCGCAACCTAGCTCTCGATGCTGCACACAGGAGGAACGATAACGACAAGATTAGGGATGGGGAGAGAATTCAGAACGTTGATCAAGGCAACTTCACTCCTCTAGTGTTCACAACCTCTGGCGGGATGGGACCAGGTGCAAGATGCTTCTTCGCCAGACTCTCGGAGGTGTTATCTGAACGGAAGCATCAGCCCAGAAGTTATGTTACAGCCTGGTTGAGATGTCGACTGTCCTTCTCTCTGCTTAGGTCAGCATTGCTTTGCCTCAGGGGAACGAGAGCATTTGCCCCAAAGCCGACAACAGTTGCAGATATTGATTATGAGGCTACAGTCACTGAATGCCGCATAGATCTGCGGCTCAACTAACACAATACAGCCAGGGTAGCTACTTGTGTATTAGGATAGTTAATTTTAAGGTAATAAAATGGCGGCGAAGTTGTGGCTATTGGGGAGGATGGAGGCCACGTCATAAAAAAGTAGTAGTAGTAGTAGTAGTAGTAGTAGTGGTAGTGGTGGTAGTGGTGGTAGTGGTAGTGGTGGTAGTGGTAGTGGTGGTAGTGGTAGTGGTAGTGGTAGTGGTGGTAGTGGTGGTAGTAGTAGTGGTGGTAGTGGTAGTGGTGGTAGTAGTAGTGGTGGTAGTGGTAGTGGTGGTAGTGTATGTCAGAGTATATATATATATATATATACTTGTCTGAATGGAAGTAAAACGCTTTATGAAGACCTGGAACGGACCTTTCGGGTGCTGGGGGAGTCTCGTTTAGTGAGGGCTGGTGAGGGTGCTGGGTGTGTAAGGGCTGGTGAGGGGCGCTGGGTGTGTGTAAGGCTGCTGGTGAGGGGTGAGGGGCGCTGGGTGTATGAGGGATGGTGAGGGGTGAGGGGCGCTGGGTGCGGTGAGGGATGGTGAGGGGTGAGGGGCGCTGGGTGTGTGTAAGGGCTGGTGAGGGGGTGAGGGGCGCTGGGTGTGTGTAAGGGCTGGGTGAGGGGGCGCTGGGTGTGTGTAAGGCCTGGTGAGGGGTGAGGGCGCTGGGTGTGTGTAAGGGCTGGTGAGGAGGAGGGGCTGGGTGTAAGGGCTGGTGAGGGGTGAGGGGCGCTGGGTGTGTGTAAGGGCTGGTGAGGGGTGAGGGGCGCTGGGTGTGTGTAAGGGCTGGTGAGGGGTGAGGGGCGCTGGGTGTATGTAAGGGCTGGTGAGGGGTGGTGAGGGGCGCTGGGTGTGTGAGGGCTGTGAGGGGTGATGAGGGCTGTGAGGGATGGTGAGGGCTGTGAGGGGAAAGGGGGCTAGCAATGGGAGAGAGCCACTGTGATTAAATTGAACAACAACAATAATAACAATAACGTGTGTGTGTGTGTGTGTGTGTGTGTGTGTGTGTGTGTGTGTGTGTGAGGGTTATTGTGGTGTATGACTGTGGTAGATATGGTTAGGGACACACACACACACACACACACACACACACACACACACACATTAGCTAAGTTTAGGTTAGGTTAAATCTCGACTACTCAACACCAGGTTAGCCCACCATAAACCAGGTTCCTTCCCTTAAACCTCACTAAACCATTACCAGATCAGATACCGATAAAACTTAAACCACACGACGAAGAAACCCATCCAGAATAAACCAGACGAGAGGCACGCAAGATATGGGTCAAAATACTGTGTGTGTGTGTGTGTGTGTGTGTGTGTGTGTGTGTGTAACGAGAAGCCAAAGGTCAGGTTCCAAGTTGGTGGGGGAATCGAACCTGTGATCGCGTTATTATTATCTGATGCCTATTGCTTGATTGTGTTATGAGACGGGTGGGCGTGTGTGTGTGTGTGTGTGTATGTGTGTGTGTGTGTCAAGTCCTTGTACTCAGTATCCTAGTACCCTATGAGTCAGAGTACGTATCACCTTCCGTTTAAAAAAAATAATATACCCAGAAATACCCAAATCAACTTAGGGCATGAGTCACTATCATTAGGAGTTGTAACACCTGAGAAAAATCTGTCCTACCCACATCTCAGGTAAACCAACCAATCCCCTTGCTACTTCCCGGGGTAAACTAACCAATCCCCTTGCTACTTCCCGGGATAAACTAACCAATCACCGACTACTTCCGTAAACTATGACGTCATATTATTACAGAACCCCACCCCCCATTTAGGAAGTTGAGTCATAGAAAACGAGAATTATCCTCCCGCCCGCTCTGGCTCCTTCCATGAACCCGGGCATAGACACAACACACTGGGAGTCAAATTTCTTTTCTATTTTTAACAGCATTTGATACATGATGCTGACCGATAGGTAATCTCCTTCCCGATATCATGTTTTCTCTCTCTCCCCTCATGGTATCGTCGAGTCATGAGAAGGTGGAAGAGAGTATAAGAACAGTGTGTTTGAAATGTGTTATGATGGCTGGCAGCGTCGAACGTGTGAGTGTACAGTATACAAAGAACCTCAACCAACCTTGGGCCATCTACTGTCACTACTACGCACTGACTCACAAACAAAAATATATTACCAACACAACATTCCACTAAATAACTCCCATTTCTCTACTCATATTAACACCAAATAATGAAATTTCTACTCGATAATTCCATAAAATTATTACAATATTGATACAAACTTTCCGTGTGTCGAGGTGGGGGGGGGGGGAATATTTGGATGGGTTCTTACAGCCTAGTTGGCATCTATCACGCGGCCCGTTGCCTAGTCATCAAATACTGCCCAATAATACGGGAAAGTTATTCTATTTGTCACACACCTGTTATGTGGCGTCACCTAAAAGCATTTCCTTCATCAAATTATCCTACAATCTGTTAATCGAGAGTTTACCTGTACTGTATACCGACAGGTGTTAAATGTACCTGAAATATTACCCCGACAGGTGTTAAATTTACCTGTAATATACCCTGACAGGTGTTACAAAATTAGAGGTATTTTTCATTTACAAATATACTATGGTCGTTTGTAGTTACACACACACACACACACACAGACACACACACACACACAAACACACACACACACACACACACACACATGAAGGCTAAGGCGAGGGGTGTGAAAAATGCGACTCTCAGGTGAAATTCTGTACAATGGACACTTAGTAGTTCCGATGGCCCAAGGCTCAAGGCATCCCCCAGGTGTGTGTAGTGGGGGGTATGGTGCTCTCCTAATGACCATGGTAGTTATGGCAGCACTTTCTCCTCTATACTAACTGGTTGCGCCTTTACACACACACACACACACACACACATATGTTTACTAAGCTTACATGTCATAATATTAAAGAATTCACCTGTGGTTTTACCTTTACAATGTCTTAATTAATCTCGTGTAGGTATTGTGTGTGTGTGTGTGTGGGTACTCATGTGTTCCTCTCTGGTGTAGGTATTGTGTGTGTGTGTGTGTGTGGGTACTCATGTGTTCCTTTCTGCTATATATGAGTTTTGTTCGTATGTTGTGTAGTGAAGAACAGTAGAGAGAAGTATTTATGTATGTGTGGCCTGTGTGGTTAGGTTAGGTTAGGTTTGGATTAGGTTTGGTTAGGTTAGGTTAGGTTAGGTTAGGTTAGGTTTGGTTTGGGTGGGGTTAGGTTTGGATTAGGTTTGGTTTGGGTGGGGTTAGGTTATGTTGGAGTTGGTTGGGTTTGGTTAGGTTAGGTTAGGTTTTCTGCAGTAGTTTAGCCACGACCATCGCTTTACCTGTGTCATAAAGGTACAGAAAATTTTAATTAGTCAACCAGGAAGACCCCATGTGATCCTAACCCTCTATGAACGTGTAAACCCCGTGTTAGGATGAGTCACGTCGGTATTGTGGTATATACTCCTAGCTACCGTCATTACCGAGTATATTTGAGATATATTCATTCAAGAAGTCGAGTCAATTACTAGTAAAAGATGTCTACATGATAGGAATCCATCATGGACTCTCGCAAAACCTTTCACCACCTTTACCAACATCATTAACACCGCCTCTCCAGTCGTCCAATTCTTCAACTCTAGGAAAAACATGCGCAATGGTGTTTCTTCTGAGGATTTAAACAGCATCTAGCGCCACAGACAGGATGGGTGTCCTCGGCGTTGTGTGTGAGTGAGAGGAACACCTTCACGGGTACTGGGAGGCTTGGCACTTTCCATTCGCTGAGTTGGGTTTCCAGCTTGCAACGCCGAGGGCTAATGACTCACCGGGGTAGGAGCGTCCGTCCCGTAAAAGCTGGGACGACGAGTGAACGAGGCATAGTCGAGATCCGGCCGCAGTCCACGACACACACGGACCGCTCGCTCTCTCTCTCTCTCTATCTCTTCGCCCCGCCCCGTTCTACCCCGTCCGTAAGTGTCCTGTTTCTCCAACTCTCCCCCCCCCACCAGGATAATGATGTCTCTTATCCCTGTGCCAGTTCATTTTTATCCTGGGATATTATTAGTGACAGATGCTGGATTCTACGGTAGTTTCTCAAGACACCATGACCCGCCCGCTTGCCTGCTCGCCCGCCGCCGCCAGGACAGGATAGTGTTGTGACGCGCCATTTATCTTCAGTTTATCTTCTGTGAACGTGAAGCCTCGTGATGAACAGTGTCCACCTATCCTTATGATAAGACCAGATGGATAGTATTGTGAGAACTTGCATCCACCATCCACCTTGAGACTCTGCCAGAAGAAAATAAAATGGAAAATATAAAGTGACGGACAATTTAAAGTGTTTACTGATTAATACAGTTTAGTCAACCATCTTTAATTTATTTTTTTTTGTTTCATTATTATATTTTAGAGAGGGGAGGGAAGATGTTAGTGAATTTTGAAAGACACGTGAAGGTTTTCCTCGTTGTGGTGGGGATGGTGAAGCGCTTGAACGTGGTTGTGTTGTGTGGGGAAGGCCAGTTCTAACCTTGGCATGTTCTTGGGATGAATATTAAGTAACTAGTAACCGGAATTATTATTATTGTCTATTCTAGGTGCGTCTCTCTCTCTCTCTCTCTCTCTCTCTCTCTCTCTCTCTCTCTCTCTCTCTCTCTCTCTCTCTCTCTCTCTCTCTCTCTCTCTCTCTCATCTCGATTTATTTTATCCCATTTAAACATTCTATAAAAATCTATTTATAAAACTCCCTATTCGCCATTAACAAGCTGCCCCGTATGGAGATCCACACTACCTGTCCTACCTGTAATTAAGACCACACATACGTCAGCTCAGGTGAAAGGAAGGGAAATTTTTAATATTTTTGGATACTTTTTTTACCTAGATAGTTGTTAAAGCTTTATCTTCAAAGTACTTATAAGTATTTTTATGTTTACTTAAATGTTATTTTACCTGAGATTATCACTTTAGAAATTCCTTACTGGGTCTGACGTTTATCTTAATAATTATCACAATAACAACCCAAAGCCGAATAATTAGTATACCTCACACCCAAAGCCGAATAATTAGTATACCTCACACCCAAAGCCGAATAATTAGTATACCACACACCCAAAGCCGAATAATTAGTATACCTCACACCCAAAGCCGAATAATTAGTATACCTCACACCCAAAGCCGAATAATTAGTATACCTCACACCCAAAGCCGAATAATTAGTATACCTCTCTAGCACTGACATTTTTCCTCCTTACTTTTCTTTGATTGTAGTGGAAATACTCGGGAATGAATCAGTGCCAAAGGTAGGAGGTGTATACGAGGTCGGGAGTGTTTGTAACCACTGTTAGCCCCAGAGATCAATCCCTGAGTTTCCAGACCCTGCCGCGTGGAGGCCAGTGGTTAGAGGGTCCATTTTTTTTTTTTTTTTGTCATATGTGGGGTGGGGGGTCAAGAGTAAGGGCCTAAGTCAGAGTTGTAACCTCTTGAATTGGGGGATGAGAAGTAAGGGCCTCCAGAAGTCAGAGTTGTAACAAATGTGGGGGTGGGGTCAAGAGAGTAAGGGCCTCTCAGAAGTCAGAGTTGTAACAAATGTGGGGGTGGGGTCAAGAGAGTAAGGGCCTCTCAGAAGTCAGAGTTGTAACAAATGTGGGGGTGGGGGGGGGGTCAAGAGAGTAAGGGCCTCTCAGAAGTCAGAGTTGTAACAAATGTGGGTGGAGCTTTTGACCAGGTTAACCAGGTCTCTTACACCTTGGTCCACCTGGTCAGGGAGACCGGTCACAGTGACCTCATCACTTATAACATTTTTGGGGGGCAGAACTATGGTTATTCTACGGGTTAGTGATAGGTACCGTATATTTTGACCCTGTCTGCCAATTATTAGGCCGTGGTGGGCCTTAGGGATGAACACTGTTTGTGACACTGGCGTACTGAGACGCCGCCTTTCCTTTTCATAGGCCATCAAGGACTCTATATGATCCGCGGCATCCTGCACCAGGCCTTTATCTGGCCCTACAACCCGTAGGGGCTGGTCCTTGGACCCCTTCTGAGGAACAAAGACCCGTACTTTGTACTTTTCCTGGATCTCTTTTATGGTAGAGCCACCTGGGCCTACCACAACCCCTAACATGTTGTTAGGAGCAGTGATGGTCACTGTCGTGGTCACAGCCTTTTGAACCAGGGCTTTTATGTGATCCGCGGCGTCGTGGACGAGGCCTTTATCTAGCCCTACAACCCGTAGGGGCTGGTCCTTGGACCCCTTCTGAGGGACAGAGACGCGAACCTTATACTTTTCCTGAATCTCTTTTATGGTAGAGCCACCTGGGCCTACCACAACCCCTAACATGTTGTTAGGAGCTTTGATGGTCACTGTCGTGGTCACAGCCTTTTGAACCAGGGCTTTTATGTGATCCGCGGCATCGTGGACGAGGCCTTTATCTAGCCCTACAACCCGTAGGGGCTGGTCCTTGGACCCCTTCTGAGGGACAGAGACGCGAACTTTATACTTTTCCTAAATCTCTTTTATGGTAGAGCCACCTGGGCCTACCACAACCCCTAACATGGTGTTAGGAGCTTTGATGGTGACCTCCTTCGTCTCCTGCACCCACTGGCCCCTCATACGAGCCAGTTGGGGTGTCACTGTTGGACCCTTGGCCTTCTTCTCGGTCATTTTAGTGACGGGCTGGTGCTGGCGTCGTTCACTTTTAATATTCTGCATGATACACTTTTATGACCAAACCAGACCACTGGACTCATGTGGTGTAAACATTATGTCAAGTGTAAGATAATGTAGTAAGAGGTTACCACAGTGAACCTCTTGTAGTGAACCTTTGTTATAGTAATGAACATGTTATTATAGTGAACCTCTTGTAGTGAACCTTTGTTATAGTAATGAACATGTTATTATTGTGAACATGTTGTAGTGAACCTTTGTTATAGTAATGAACATGTTATTATAGTGAACCTCTTGTAGTGAACCTTTGTTATAGTAATGAACATGTTATTATAGTGAACCTCTTGTAGTGAACCTTTGTTATAGTAATGAACATGTTATTATAGTGAACCTCTTGTAGTGAACCTTTGTTATAGTAATGAACATGTTATTATAGTGAACCCCTTGTAGTGAACCTTTGTTATAGTAATGAACATGTTATTATAGTGAACATGTTGTAGTGAACCTTTGTTATAGTAATGAACATGTTATTATAGTGAACCCCTTGTAGTGAACCTTTGTTATAGTAATGAACATGTTATTATAGTGAACCTCTTGTAGTGAACCTCTTGTAGTGAACCTTTGTTATAGTAATGAACATGTTATTATAGTGAACATGGAATAGTGAACCTCTTGTAGTGAACCTTTGTTATAGTAATGAACATGTTATTATAGTGAACCTCTTGTAGTGAACCTTTGTTATAGTAATGAACATGTTATTATAGTGAACCTCTTGTAGTGAACCTTTGTTATAGTAATGAACATGTTATTATAGTGAACATGGAATAGTGAACCTCTTGTAGTGAACCTTTGTTATAGTAATGAACATGTTATTATAGTGAACCTCTTGTAGTGAACCTTTGTTATAGTAATAAACATGTTATTATAGTGAACCTCTTGTAGTGAACCTTTGTTATAGTAATGAACATGTTATTATAGTGAACCTCTTGTAGTGAACCTTTGTTATAGTAATGAACATGTTATTATAGTGAACCTCTTGTAGTGAACCTCTTGTTATAGTAATGAACATGTTATTTTAGTAGACCTCTTGTAGTGAACTGACCTTTGTTATAGTAATGAACATGTATGTTATTATATGAGTGGACACTCTTGTGAGCAGACCTTTGTTATAGTAATAGACATGTTATTATAGTGAACCTCTTGTAGTGAATAGCTTTGGTATAGTAATAAGACATGTTGTTATAGTAGACCTCTTATGAGGAACCTTTGTTATAGTAATGAACATGTTATTATAGTATGAACCTCTTGTAGTGAACACTCTTGTAGTGAACATATGTTGTGAGTAAGACACAACACACCACACCTAGCCACACAACACCTCTGTACACCACAACACACCTCTGCCCCACCCTCACAACACACCTGACACCTCACAACACACCACAACACACCTCACAACACACCTCTCTGTACACCTCACAACACACCACAACACCTCACAACACACCCTGTACCACCACAAACACACCTCTGACACACCTCACAACACACCACAACACCTCACAGCACACACCACAACACCTCTGTACACCACAACACACACCACAACACCACAACACACCCTCACAACACACCACAACACACCTCTGTACACCTCATAACACACCACAGCACACACCACAACACACCTCTGTACACCACAACACCTCTGTACACCTCACAACACACACCACAACCACACCTCACAACACACCTCCTTACACACCACAACACACCTCACACAACACACACCCTGTACACCTCCTGCCCCACCCCACCCACAACACACACCTCTGTACCACACAGCACAACACACCACAACACACTCTGCTTACACCACCAACACACCTCCCTGTACACACACCTCACAACACACCTCACAACACACCTCACAACACACCACAACACACCTCACAACACATCACAACACACCTCACAACACACCACAACACACCACAACACACCTCACAACACCGGCTGTGAACGCTCGCTACGGGTGTTCATAACACTCACCCGCAGGCAAAGAAATCAGTGAATTCAACCAATCAAAACCGAGGGTGTGCAACGACGTAGAATATGATTGGACAATTACTTTTTTTATTATACCATTTACATTCTAAAGGTTTGGAGAGAGAGAGAGAGAGAGAGAGAGAGAGAGAGAGAGAGAGAGACATTTACATCACAGAAAGACAGATAGTGAGCGTGTGAGGGGGAGGGGGTGGCATGCGGGTGGATTCGGAGGGTGTTGAAGGGGGGGAAGAATTTGTAGTGGGGCAATGTCTCTCTCTCTCTCTGCATGACAAGTAACTCATGGTAAGATAATGGTTAAATAATAGACCATGACAGAGGCAGTTGTCATGTTGCCAAAGCATTGTTGTCAACTTATTCATTGTAGGAAGCCACCCCAAAAAATGGTGTGTTGGCGTTATGGTGTAATGGGACACCTCATGATAAAAGAATGGCGTTATGGTGGTGTTCTGTCATGAGAGGGTTGAGTGCACAGTGCATGACTCATAACCAACAGTGCACGTACATCACCACTACTACCACCATCACCACTACCACCACCATCACTACCGCTACCATCACTACCACTACCATCACTACCACTACCACTACTACTTACACGTATTTATTATTCATATTTTTAATATTTATTATATACTATTACCCTTCCTAATTCTTATTTTCTCTATTTGGGTATATTTCCTTCATTTATCGAGTATTTCCTTCCATTTCCCATCTTTATTAGCCAGTGTGGTTTATTCTCTATATATTTAGTCTTAAATTAAGGCTTTTCTTCACTTATGATTTATTATCAATGTTTATTCTCTTCTACGTGTTCTTTGTTTGGTTTCAGGATCTATACTGAGAGAACTATTTGTGACAGTCTTTTGTTTTCTTCCAGGATCTATACTGAGAGAACTTATAGTGACAGTCTTTTGTTTTCTTCCAGGATCTATACTGAGAGAACTTATAGTGACAGTCTTTTGTTTTCTTCCAGGATCTATACTGAGAGAACTTATAGTGACAGTCTTTTGTTTTCTTCCAGGATCTATATTTAGAGAGACAAAGGAAAGAGATAAAGCGAGAATATAAACGACAAAAAAAAAACAAGTGAGAGGCGGGAAGCGTGACCAAGATGGCGTGTACCTTGAAGGCTGTTGTCACCTGCGGCATTTTGCTGGCTATAATAGACATTGTGAGTACCTTGAGAGAGTGAGAGAGAGAGAGAGAGTGAGAGGGAGAGAGAGAGAGAGTGAGAGGGAAAGAGAGAGAGTGGTTTACTCCCCAACCTTACAGTACACGTCTATTAATAACTCGTGGTTAACATCTGACAACTCTGTCGGCTTGGCTAAATTTGTGGCTTGTTCTTACCACTGCGTACTTGTTGTGGCTTTTGTGTGTGTGTGTATGTTCATCTATCTATCTATCTATCTATCTATCTATCTATCTGTGTGTGTGTGTGTCTGTCTGCGTTTTAGCATAACTGTATAACAAAACTATACATTAGTGACTATTTTTATTACTTTCTATATAACTATGTTTAAATAACTGTCTAAATGACTGTATCCCTGTAACCCAGTCTAACCCAGTCTTATCTCTACTCCCTTACAGTTTCATGGACTGGTGACACTAGGATTCTACGGTTACCAGTTTATCATTGAGTCATTTTACCTGTGTCCACTTGATCTACCTGTGGAAAAATGTCACAACAAAATTTACATCTACGAGCAGAGTAAGTAGATTATGGTAGTGTAGATTATGGTAGTGTAGATTATGGTAGTGTAGATTATGGTAGTGTAGATTATGGTAGTGTAGATTATGGTAGTGTAGATTATGGTAGTGTAGATTATGGTAGTGTAGATTATGGTAGTGTAGATTATGGTAGTGTAGATTATGGTAGTGTAGATTATGGTAGTGTAGATTATGGTAGTGTAGATTATGGTAGTGTAGATTATGGTAGTGTAGATTATGGTAGTAGATTATGGTAGTGTAGAGATTACAGGTAGTGTAGTGGTAGTGTAGATGGTGTAGTGTAGTTATGGTGTGTAGATTATGGTAGTGTAGATTATGGTAGTGTAGATTATGGTAGTGTAGATTATGGTAGTGTAGATTATGGTAGTGTAGATTATGGTAGTGTAGATTATGGTAGTGTAGATTATGGTAGTGTAGATTATGGTAGTGTAGATTATGGTAGTGTAGATTATGGTAGTGTTGGTTCATTCAGTTGGTTTGAATCAATGAATCCGTGAATGAAGTTGGTTATTTCACTGTCACTTGAACTGATTAAGTGTGTGTGTGTGTGTGTGTGTATGTGTGTATGTGTGTGTGTGGTGTGTGTGTGTGTGTGTGTGTGTGTCCTTCAGATATTTCAAATGGCTCGAGACAGTGAATCATTTATGTTCGTTGAGTTGTGTGTGTACAATGGTTCAGACACAGATACGCACATACGTAAAATACATACACAAGAGGCACGGTATATAAGGAAATATATGTACACGCACATACAGATAGACAGACAGACAGACAGACAGAGAGACAGACAGACAGACAGACAGAGAGACAGACAGAGAGACAGACAGACAGACAGAATAATGGCCTTCACAGTTGATTCTTGAATAACACGTAACTTAAATTGCGTTTCATTCACACCACTTGACCTGAACTCTGTGTGCGCGTGTGTGTGTGTGTGTGTGTGTGTGTGTGTGTGTGTGTGTGTGGATTAGGAGAACACATACATCACCATAACAACTACTTCTTGAAAGCTACTGCATACACACACACCCACACAATAACCTAACCTAACCAAATCTAACATCCCTCTCTCTCCCTCTCTCCCTCAGTGTTCGAGACCCGTGTGCATATCGGCATGGGTGAAGGCATAGCGTGTGTGTTCTTCGCCATCCTCTACATCATCGCGTTAGTTAAGGTAAGTCGTGGACCAGTTCACCTGTAATAACCAACCTCATTTAGAGTTGATTGCATAGCGGCGTCAGGTATAATATCAAAGCTTCAATTCCACGGGTCTGTATTTTTAGAGGAGAGATTTCATGTAGGTACAGATAATAGTGTAGTGAGAAAGTCGGTTTTATTTAGGTTACAATATCCATAGATAACTTGCGTGTATACAATGTTACCAATACAATAGTGGAAGTCCTTTTTTTTTTACTGAATACATAAAACATTATTAACGAGATAAAAAAATACAGTCATATACAGTAATTACATCCGGGTAGACTACAGACTGTACTTACAAGAAACTGTTATCACTGTCACAGTTATCAGAGCTTAACGAGACACGCCACACACAGTTACTTTCTTTAACTGACTGTGTAGTTGAGGATGCAGTCTCTGAGTCATACAGTCATACCAGTCATGAACCTTATACTGAATGACAGTCGTAAGATAAACTTGAATATATACAGTTACTAACAGCTGACAGAGCAATACAGTCAATCAGTTACGTAGATACAGTTTATTATCGTAAATTTACTGTCATGTAAGAATTCCAGAAAACATTTTAGTTACATAGTAAATATTTTATAATGAAACTAATCTAAACATCTCAGTCTACAAGATTTTCCTTAATATTATCGTTAATTTCCAACAGTTTTCACTTGACAAACAAACAAAAGAAATGGGTAAAGGTGGATCAGATCTAGATACATATATTTCAGAAAGTTACGCTCACTCGGACACGAAGAAATATAGTCAAGACGCTATGAAGTGGGACACACACACACACACACACACACACTAAGACGGCTGACAACACAACAATCGACCTCTCACATTTGATAACTCTCACAGACCCTTGAGCCCGTATTGTCAGAATTTAAAAGTCCTTCCCCCTTAAAACATCGCCAGGGCTGGGAATTCAAGGCTTTGGTCGAGGTGAAGGGGTGGGAGGAAGGGGGAAGGTGAGGGAAGGGGGGGAAGGGGGGGAGGATGGGAAAATGTCACATACGAGGTCACTTCGAAGCAAAACCTGTAAACAAAGATGACTTATGATCGACCCAAGTTATTATTACCCTCAGAGAAAGTCATACCTCTGGCTGTCTTGGAGTTGGAGGTCAGGATAATTGTTTATTTTAAAGCGAGGTTGAGCTGTGGAGGTTATATGTACCTCAACTTAACCTCCAGGAACTCCTTGTTGACGGTAAATATACTAAGACACCCTAGGTCTCTCTTTAACCTTCAGGAATTGAGACAGGAAGTGACAGATTATTATGAAGGAGGGTTTCATTATATTTGTGTGTGTGGGTGGGTGTGTGGGTGTGTGTGTGGGTGTGTGTGGGTGTGTGTGTGGGGGGAGGACCACTCTTAACAGATGCTCACCACATGACAAGATAAAAACATACTTTAACCTGACCAAGATCCCAAGCATTAACCAACGGACCCTGATGGTGAAAAAAAAAAAACACTGGCCACGTCACCACTACACCACCACCACTACACCACAACCACTATAACCACCACTATAACCACCACTATAACCACAACGACATACTATACTACCACCATTACCACTATCACCACTACTACCACTACCCCACCATCACCACCACCAACACCACTACACCATCACGACAACCATACCACCACCACTACCCCACCACCACAACTACCACAACCACCACCACTCCTAACCACTTCTCACCAGTATATGTAGTCGCCAAGGCTATTTATTTCAATATGTTATCATTGCTGTAGGAGACGCCGACATATGTGGAGAATGGTGACCGTGCGGGTAGACCAAGTGGGGAGGGTATATGACGTTTACTTCTATATTGGTCTAACGAAAGATTGGTATATATATATTGTGTTTGACCTTCTCTCTCTCTCTCTCTCTCTCTCTCTCTCTCTCTCTCTCTCTCTCTCTCTCTCTCTCTCCTTTCCTCTCCTCACCCACCCCATTCCCGTAAAATGTGTTACTTGTGCGTTTCATTTCATAAGATCTCTCTCTCTCTCTCTCTCTCTCTCTCTCTCTCTCTCTCTCTCTCTCTCTCTCTCTCTCATCTCACATCACTATCTTTGTCAGTTTTAAGTGTTAATTGATATGTCTGTCGCTATTCTCAGTCACACACACACACAGAGCTCTAGTTTCATCATCTGTCGTCTCAAATTCTCTTCCTCACGTCTCTCTAACCTCTCCTACCTCACAACACACACACCCCTATAAACCTCACCCCTCCCTCACCCCTCCCTCACCCCTCATATAACCACCCCGTTTCTCCCAACAGCACAAACCATCTCTCACCTGGATTTGGCTCATGAAATCCTTTGCTGTGATCGCCATCAACGTGTACTACCTGGCCGCTTGGCTCATCCGTCAAGGGCGCTACGATCACATTGAATGGGAGAAACAGGACTACGAGGATGAATTTGTCTTTACGGCTGAGGGACTGACACTAGCCCAGATTGTTATTATGATTCTATTCTGCCTGATCGGCGCCATCTTTACTTACAAGGTGAGAGGGGAGGAGTGGGCTGGGGAGAGGAAGGAAGGATGGGGGAGAGGAGGGATGGGGAGGGAGGGGAGGATGGGGAGAGGAAGGGGATGGGGGAGAGGGAAGGGAGGGGGGATGGGAGAGGGAAGGAGGGGGCTGGGGAGAGGGAAGGAGGGGGCTGGGGAGAGGGAAGGAGGGGGCTGGGGAGAGGGAAGGAGGGGGCTGGGGAGAGGGAAGGAGGGTTAAATCATCGTCCTAAAGGGTTAAGGAACATGGATTTAAAATGCATCATGGTGATATTATTAATCGATGTATAGTTATTGTATTTCTCACCATCATCACCTCTTACCACCATCATCGCCTCTCCACCACCACTATCTCTCACCATCACGACCTCCACCTTTCATCACCACCACGACCTCTCCACCAGCCACCATTTCTCACCACCACCATCTCTCCTTCAGGTATGCGAGGAGAGGACAGCCAGTCGACGTAACCTCCGCCATCGCAGCAAATGGGCCCACGACGCTACAGCACCTCCCCTTGACCACTACGACGAGGAGGAAGCCCAGTACCTCAACGATGCTTTGACCAACAGCGATAAGACCCTCCCTGCTCGTGTCTCCAAGCAAAGCCTCTCAGAAATCAGTCGAGCAGACACCTTCAAGCATTCCACTGGCGTCTAGACTCACCAGATAAACAATAACTTTTGGTTTATAAACGTGAAAGAACATTTTTTGAACAGGACTCGAGATGTTGTTTGAGTTAAGTGGAGATTTTTGGAGGGAAAAACACGCGACGGTGATTTCTAGTCTTTTATTTTGAGATGAATAATTGATTTAGGAGGTAAGAGAACCTGTCTAGAGTTTTTCTTTCTTCGTTCAATTCATTTGTTTTCCTTCTCAAAAACTCAGAGCCTTGTTTATAACTCAATATACACTGATTTTATTTGTACAATTTGTAAGCCGAGCACCACCATATCCACGGGTTAACTAAAACACATTCAGAGTCCACATCAAAATATGTCTTCCAACACATCAATGTTCATTTCAGAAGAACATACAGTATGTAAGCTCAAACTTTATTCTAACGACGGCCAACGAGGGAAGTGTTTTAGGCTCCCCTGAAATAGTTTCCGTTTTCTGTTATAAAAATCTCAGACCAGTAGAATATATTATTTGAAGGCCAACTTGTAAGAAAGTGAGATTTCATACAAGTTGAGATTATTTAAGTCTGTGATTTCGTCTGCCTTGTTAGTAGACACATGTTAGCACGCTTGATATTTGTAATATTCCTTTAGTATGTTTTAATATATACTAGAGCTGTAATGTAACAGTTGTAGTGTGCACAAAGCTAAGAGAGGGACTACGGGGCCTATGGCATTTTTGGTATTTATCCACATTAGAGAAAAAGGATCATCTACCAGGGATAACTTTTCTAGTTTTATATACAGTTTCTTTTATATATTCAGAAGAATTTCATAATTTTATACGTATATTAGAATGTTCTCCCCAATGCCTCAAATTTAGAGAGAAACACCAAAAAATAATAATTATTAGGCCCAGAAACGGTCAGATTAGTCTCCAGGGTTTGTGGTTTTAGCGTCTGTGTGAGACGTACGGTGAAGCAAAACTTTCTCACATTCATTCACACTCAGTAACTCTCACACAATTTCGTTCGTGTTGACATATGCACCCACACACACACACCGTCATACATACACACACACACACACACACACCCAGAGGCACAGCATATCCTCTCATACACAAGACAGGTTGGGTACAAACTTTATATAAAAACATAAGACACAGGTAGAGTGAGCTGTGTAGTCAGTGTCCAACAAGCAACGGAGGACCACACACCTACCCGCGCCACCACCTCGCCCTTGGTACAGAAATCAAAATAAAGACAATTTTTTTTTACTTCTCATAATTAGTTTTTAGGCTTAAATGCGTAAATACCGATTTGTATATGTAAATTGGCCCATATTTATAAACTGTAAAATCTCCGGTTATTTTATATCTGTTAGTATTTGTGTAGTGATGAGTACAGTGGTATGATTACCTGTAGTTTTGTCCAATCATTCATATAACGAGTAATTTTGTCCAATCATACCTATAACGAGTAATTTTGTCCAATCATACCTATAATCCTGTTATTTCAGTATTTTTATATAATTAGCAATAGTGTTAAGGACATGTAAAACTCTTCAACATGTAAACAACGACGATCGAAGACCCAAATGTTGTACAGTACATGATAGAAGTGTAATATTTTCCTCCACAGTGGAGAAGGGATACCATTTTGTCTTCACTCACCACATACCATCACTATCACCCGCCCGGGCTTCACCATCATCATCATCACCAGTCACCATCCTCCTCTGCACCATCTCCTGTATATAGTAGGAATCATTTTCTCTCTTTTGTAAAGCTTCAATAAAAAACTTTGAGTTATTCTTTATTTTATTTGTTTTAGAAGTAAGTAATAATCGACAATGAACTGAAAATGGTATGAGAGTTTGTGTTTTCTGTTCACTGACTCAGCTTATGTTTCGAAACACACGAGGTGGGTTAAGGTTTCATTTGGATGGTTTAGTGCTCATATGGATTCGGGACTGTTTCGTTTCTGGGGATTGAGACTCTGAACTTTGCCTGATTGGTTATTTGTACATCAACACAGTCAGTCAGTCTGTGTGTGGAAGCAGTGTCGTCAACCTACACACAACTAGTCTGTGCTTAGTGACAACCTCACCACTACGACCCACACCACCACCCCGACCCTCACCACCAGGATATATACAAACCACGCCATCAAGCTGCAGTGAACGACCATACGGGATACGGTAAGACACTAAAACATCATCCAATTTATATTTTTCGAGTCAGGAAATTCCGAGTGATTGTAGAGCTTCAGTCACTGAGTAAACCTTGTGACGTGAGTGAACTTGTGAGAAGGAGTGAATACCTGTGACTGACTTAACACCAGTGACGTCACTGAGTAAACCTTGTGACGTGAGTGAACTTGTGAGAAGGAGTGAATACCTGTGACTGACTTAACACCAGTGATGTTATGACTAGGATGTGAGTTGGTCTTGATGAGATTCCCCTACAAGATGGTGAGGTATGAGCATAAGAAACATAAGAAAATAGAGAGTCTGCAATAGGCCGATTTGGCCTGTATATAGCTCTATCAAAATTCACACTACCACTCTATCGTTCATGAATCCTATCTAGCCTCCTTTTGCGAAACTTTCCGGGATTCCCGCACTTACTACAAAGTTGCTAAAGCATTTCCTCGTCCACCACCCTATTTGCTGAACCAGTTCCTTCCTATCTCCCTCCTAAACCTAAACTTATCCAACTTGAATCCGTTGCTCCGAGTCCTATCCTGCTCGGATATTATAAGAACTTTATCTATATCCCCTTTATTGATTCCTTTCACCCACTTAAATACTTCTATCATATATCCCCGCACTCTTCGTCTTTCTAGGGAATGCAAGTTAAGTTTCTTTAACCTATCCTTATATGGAAGGTTTCTAAGTCCCTGAATCATTTTTGTCATTCTTCGCTGCACCGACTCTAGTGAATATATATCCATTCTATAATAGGGGCACCAGAACTGAACCGCATAATCGAGGTGCGGCCTAACTAGCGCAAGATATAGTTGCAATAAGACCTCTGCACTATTGTTACTTACACTTCTAGATATAAAACCCAATACTCTGTTTGCCTTATTTCGAACATTCACGCACTGTTTTCTAGGCCGTAGGTCCGGGCTTACAAGTATCCCTAGGTCTCTTTCACAAGTCGACTTCTCTAGGTTGATGTTGTTCAGGCTGTATGCATTATAATTATTTGTTCTTCCAATATTAAGTACGCTGCACTTGCTGGTGTTGAATTTCATTTGCCATTTTTCAGACCACCCTGCAGTTCAGTTAGATCCTCCTGTAATGCATTTGCATCCTGCCCTGAATTAATTTGCCGCCCTATTTGTGTCATCCGCAACTTGCTTATGTCACTGCTGATCCCAGTATCAAAATCGTTTATGGTGAGGTAGTGTGTGGGATTGTGGGGTATAGTGAGGCAGTGTGAGGTATAGTGAGGTAGTGTGTGGTATAGTGAGGTAGTGTGTGGGATTAGGGGTATAGTGAGGCAGTGTGAGGTATAGTGAGGTAGTGTGTGGGTACAGTGAGGTAGTGTGTGGGATTGTGGGGTATAGTGAGGCAGGAGGTATAGTGAGGTAGTGTGTGGGATTGTGGGATAGTGAGGCAGTGTGAGGTATAGGAGGCAGTGTGGGGTATAGTGAGGTAGTGTGTGGGATTGGGGGTATAGTGAGGCAGTGTGAGGCAGTGTGAGGTATAGTGAGGTAGTGTGAGGTATAGTGAGGTAGTGTGTGGGATTGTGGGGTATAGTGAGGCAGTGTGAGGCAGTGTGAGGTATAGTGAGGTAGTGTGGGATTGTGGGGTATAGTGAGGCAGTGTGGAGGTGTAGTGAGGTAGTGTATAGTGAGGTAGTGTGAGGTATAGTGAGGAGTGTGGGGGTATAGTGAGGGTGGGTGTGTGTGAGGTATAGTGAGGCAGTGTGATGTATGGTGAGGCAGTGTGATGTATAGTGAGGCAGTGTGATGTATAGTGAGGCAGTGTGATGTATGGTGAGGCAGTGTGATGTATGGGAGGGCGTGTGATGTATGGTGAGGCAGTGTGATGTATAGTGAGGCAGTGTGATGTATAGTGAGGCAGTGTGAGGTATAGTGAGGCAGTGTGATGTATAGTGAGGCAGTGTGAGGAATGGTGAGGCAGTGTGGAATAGTGGGGCAGTGTGAGGAATAGTGAGGCAGTGTTGGGCAGTGAGAGTATGGTGAGTGTGGATCAGTGTGAGGCAGTGTGAAGCAGTGGAGACATGTGAGGCATTATGAGGCATTAATGAAGCAATGTGAGGCTGTGCGTAGAGTTTCTGGGTGGATCAAGTGTGTGGAGGGAATATAAAAAGGATGAAGAGGGTGGGGAGGAGGAATAAAGAGACTAACAAAATAGAGCACAATGGGAGAAAAAGGCGCACAATCGATAAACTTCTAAGTTTCCCTTAAAATTATATCATTTTCTTTAATAGCATAGAAAACGTTTAATCATTAACTTAGCAAACGAAAAGAAACTGATGTCGTCAAGATTTCTACTAACCATAGATTAAACAAATTTATCTATAAAACAATTAATTTATCTCAAGTAAGACCAATTCAATATATATAAACTGCGCATTGAGGTGGTTTCAATGACACCAAAGAGGACTTTGAAGTATAGGAACATTTGGCATGAGTAAGATTGGGTTAGCGGTTCTTTGGTCTCCAGGTGGCTGTACCTTGGAGATTCTTCTAAGTATCCAAACCCACCAGAGTATCCAAGGCATCATATTTGTGTTCTCTACTACCTTGTTGAAGTGATCTAGAGGTAGTAAAAATTTAAACGCAACTTCTCGTGTAGTGAAATTGACCCACCGCCATTTGCAAGTCGCATTCATAGTTGAAAATTCATAGATTTATCATTATTTAATTTCTTTAATCAACAATAAGAACCCCATTGGGAATAAACTTTCAAAATCGTTCTAGAATTATCTTTAGAAAGCAATTTGACAAGTGGTTTAGGTATATATAATAAAGAAGTGAAAATAACACCACCACTATCATATTGAGACTTCAGAGTGCAAGCACACATGGCGGAAGTTGCCAGGTACTGTGGCAGCTGGCGGGAGAAGTGACAAAAGAAAACACAGAACAAGAACAAGAAAAACAAGAATAACAAGAACAAGAAGAATAAGAACAAGAACAAAAATAATATGAACAATAAGAACAACAACAAGAATAAGAACAAAAAGAATAAGAACAACAAGAACAAGACGTGGAAGAACAACAGGAAGATAGAGCAAAACTAAGAAGAAGAAGAAGAAGACGACGACCACAGCTGTAAGGCATTATCTGAAAGTGATCTGTTGATTTAAGGGTTTACCTGTGGGTCTCACCTGTCGTACGATGCTTTCCCCTGTACCGTCAGGTGTTGGTCGTGTTAATTGCTAGTCACGGACGCCACTTGATGACTGACAGAGTGTGACATACTTGACTCAGGAGGGAGGAGAGAGAAGACCTCACACACACACTCACTCACACACACACACACACACACAAAACGAGTTCCCGGTGGAGTCCTGTACACTATTGACATTTGTGGCAGATAGAGGTCGCTGGGTCACACGTTGTCACCATAATAATGACTCCTATAACCCCCTCCTCCCCCCCCTCGCGACCTCTGATATAACGTGTACGTGTGTTGCATCTTCTTAGCCATAATAGAGCGACCTTACCTCTCTCGATTGTGTAACCAACTTGTCCTCCTAACACATATATACAGTACCTAAGGTGAAGAAAAGAGAATCAGTGTAGCTTCTCAGAGTATAAATATTTTCTTGGATCTTTATGTACGAGGGAGTGGTTAAGTTAGGTTAGGTTTAGGACCTTCACCTTCCACCTTTTAACCTCCAAAATATAGCAGCTCTCCAGTTTGTCTTTGTGAATGGATAAAACAAATACAGTGAGGAGATGAAAATACAAACAAAAAAAACAAAACAAGCTACAAATACAGCCACAAAAACATCAATAAACGTAAAAAAGAAATCCATTTGAATCCATTACAATTTCTTAGTGTATATAATGGTGTAAAATCATATGGTATTTAATTTGAGATATATATATATTGTATGTCACGACGTAACGATCTCTATAGTTACCCATTAATGCCGAGAAAGTGTTCCGTTTTCTTTGTTTGCTGTTCAGTTCCGCAGATTAATCCTAGGAAAGTACCACGAACAAAATTCTTAACTAATATATTCAATTTTCTCTTCTTATAAAATAAATCACATATATAATTTAATTCAGTTTAGTAATATGATATTTTTAGATACTTTGAGTTAACTTAGAAAGGTTCTGAATGAAAAATGTGCATAAGGGAAGAAAACAATATTCTAAGGGTTATTTTTTAACATTGATTTGTTGACGTATGATTAAAACAGATCTGTGATGATGATAAAGAGAGACTGAAGGAACAATGAAAAGAGGCTATAGTATAAAAGAAGGAGAGAAAGGAGAAATACAAGAGGAAAATATGAAGAAAGAGTTAAGGAAGAAGTGAGGAGAAGGAGGACGAGGGAAGAAGAAATAGAAAGAAAGAATAAAGAAAGGAGGATGAAGAAAGAGAGAGAATGAGAAAAAAAAGAAAGAGGTAAGGAAAAAGGGGAAGAAGAGAAGGGGCACAGGTAGAGAGAAGAAGAAGCGGGAGGAGGAGGATGTGAGACTGAAGGTCAACTGTCGGTTACCTGCGGTCGTTGGCCCAGTTCTTCCTCCACCTCTTCCTCCACCTCCTCCACGGTACTGTTGCTACTATTACTGTTATTCTTAGTGTTGTCTTTTA